ATGGTCTCATATGGGCTCATGTATACTACTTTTCAAGGAGTCCTGGAAGCATAGGGGGTTACATACTGGACTACGGTCAGTAGTTCAAATCTACCTTGTGCTCCTCACAGAGCAGAAGAACAATGAGGCTTTCTGTTCCTGTAAAGATTCACAGCCTTGGAAAGCCTATGCAGACAGGGTCACTATGAGTCAGAATCAACTAGACGACATGCAGCAGCAGCAAACTTCTTCCCATTAGCAAGTTATTTTGATTCTGGATTGAGTCTCAATGTAAGAAAAGTACCAAACAATCAACAAAATGTTTCTAGTTATTTTAGTCTTCCCCTATCAATGTTTCACTCCTAAATATATTCATCTACATTTTACATGTAACAAATGAAAGGAGCCATGACATGACATCTACAATTAAAATAAAAAGAAGAAAGGATACCTGGGTAATCTTCAGATACATGTACTGAGTAGGATATACTGTTAAGAGAAGAAAAAAACACTCATGTTACTGTTAAAACAGATAAGCTTTTAGAAAATAAAAATTAACCCCATTATTACTCATTCAACAGGAAGTTCAAAGTATATATAAATAACATCCAATACAGATTTAAAAACCTGTATTATATTTGTCATAGGAAATACAGATTTTGTAAAATTCACATTCAATGAGTTTAAATGCCTTTCTAGAACAGGGCTGAAACATAAAATCTTTCTCCCAAGCGTGATGTTTTTAATATAGTTAAATTTGGTATTGCAACAGAATCTAATATCCCTGAATTTACAATCATTTTTATTGTTTGTTCACATGATTTTATCACATTATCTTTTTTTATCCCCTGCCCACACACAAAAAAGGCTTCTTCCTATTTAGAATGGTATTCAAGAAATATTTATTTTGAACATTGCTTCCTTGACATGCTATGCTTTAAAATTTTTCCTTTTTCATGGAATTAACAAAATATGATGAAAGAATTACTAACAATAATTTTTTCATATATATATTCAAAACCTCGCTTTCCTGGCTTGTCTTCTTCTTAGGATACTAAGTGTTAAATTTCTGAAACGTAACTACCTATTAAGTCTTATGACTTGACACAGGCCTCTGTGAATATAGTCACAAGGCAATGCACCCCTCAAGTCCAGGTCAAGGCCCCAGGACACCACTTGTTAAGTCTTTGGCATGCAGTTTGTTTGTCTTCGGAAAGAGATTAAACATTCACAATAATGAAAGGATAAGTCAATGCATCGAAAGAAAGAAAAAAGAAAAAAGTGGTTAGCAATGGCCATGTATTGATTAACTCAACAAGCTTTTTCTTATATAACCTGGTATATGTCAGACATTGGCTTAATGACAAATAAGGTATGACTTTTTAGGCATAAAGAAATCAGAGGACCAAAATTTGGGTGTCATTCATAACAACATAACAAGTGTGAGGGTGACACAAGACTGGGCCTCGTTTTATTCTGTTGTGCACAGGATCGTTGTGAGTGGGATCTGACTCAGTGGTGCCTAACAACAACAGAATTTGGATGATTAATTCATGGAAACAGAGAAACATGAAACACACAAAATATGATAAAGAAATTAAAGAGTAGTTTATGGTCCAATAATAACAGCGTTCTACTTTTTATTTTCAAATAATTATGGATTCCCATGAAGCTACAAAGATAGCACAAAGAAGTTCTATGTAGGCTTAAACCAGTTTCCCCAACCAGTTAAATATTATGCATTTATAGTACAATATAAAAAACAACAACAACAAAAAAAAAAAAAACCTCAGTAGATAAAATATTTGCTTTGGTACAAAATGTGTGTATAGTTGTATGTCAGTTTATCACATGTGTATATTTACCTATCCTCCACCATAAACAAGATATAGAACTATTCCATCAAAGATTTCCCTCATGCTACATGTTAGATTCAAGCCCACATCTCTTCACCCCAACAACATTTAATCATGCATGGTTTCCATTTGTATAATTCTTTTTTATCATTTTGAGAAGAATGCATGAATGCAATCATTGAGTATAAACATGATGCTATTTAAAGACAAAATCAGTATTTTGAAAAAAAAAAAAAAGAAATACTGTGATACACAGTATTTAGGTGGGGCTGAAGAAGGCAGAAACCAGATTAAGAGGCCACTGTAGTGGTCAAATTTGAGCAAATGTCACTCAGTATAACAGGAATCTGATGACAGGAACCAGTGGTAGATTTTGTACTCTATACTTACTGAAAAGTGTGGTCCTAAATCAAATGCCAAGAATCAGAAGATACCATTCATGACAGTTATGTCTCAAACAGGCTGAGAGAAATATACATTATCACCCATCTGGATTTATTTTCCTGTGATTCTCTCCCCTATGGAGTGGAAATGACTGAGGAAGTAAAATGATTGATAATCAGTCCAACAAGCTGATTGGGTAGTACTACCTTGCCTGGTGTGATTACTGGTGTGGCGCTGTAGGATCAGCAAAGGACTGCCAACCACAAGGTTGATAGTTCAAACCTACCAGCTGCTTCTCAGAAACCCTATGTAGGGTCACTATGAGTTGGAACTGATTTGACAGAACCTAACAACAACAACAACAACCTTGCTGGCAGAAACCTGGAAAGTCACCACAGATTACACACAGCACCAAACTGAATTAATCTTCAAAAGTTAGCAACCTCAAACAACAGCAGTTGTCATAATTCATCAAATCAATTTCTAAACCTAGAATGAAGACTAATTTTCTCCTTTATCTACCTTCAGTTATGGATACAGTTGTAGTGCGAATCAGACAGATAGGAATCAAATTTGAACTTTGAGCCTTAATAACTAGATGGCCTTAAATACCCCCAGCTTCAATCTCTCTTTGGTAAAATGGAGGGAATGAGACCTACCTTACAAGCCTGCTGTGATGACTTAATGACTTAACAGGTGTAAGGCCCCTAGGATAATGCCAGACACCCAGCAGCAGGTGCCGAGTAATTTTAGTCAGCTTCCAGCACAAGCAATTAAAATTTGCAGAAGTGAAATTTTACACGAATGTATGTTCTCTGGGGAACGCAGTTTGCTAAAAATACAATATCACATTTACCAGCTACAAATGCTAACACTAAAGATTTTATTTTATTGTTGTATTATGCTTATATTAACAGATATCATGTTCTGTTCATGAATGTATCTAATTTTTCAAATACAAAATGTAGAGCCAAAGTTCTACAAAATGATTTTATCTGCTGTATATGCTATAGCATTTTCTTGGAAGTATACCAGAAGGAAAATCACCAGAGCTGTAAAATTTTAATCATAGGTGGGGCCAATAAATGAGCAAAGAACCAAGTTTAAATACATTTAACAGTAAGGCTATATGTACTGAACATAATAAACATTATAAAGCAGGAAGAAATATTGTGGAAAAATGAAAGTGAAAAAAGACAGTAAACACAATATGGAAGAAAAATCTGGAGCAAGATTTGAGTGCTGATTCAGGAAGCTATGCCTTCAGAATACTGGAAGAGGCTAAATTACAACTACAATCAAGCTGCTTTGCCAGAAAAACTCAGGTCAGTCAAAATGTGGATGGTATATGGTGTATGCACAGCACTGTACTAGATTCTCAAATTACAAGTTTTAAAACTACCATCTATAAGTTATTTCTACTATTACCTCAAAAATTTACTGAGGATGACCATGGTTATATCCAACCTGCTTGTTGGCTTATAGGTAATTATTACTGGCAAAAAAGGAAAAGAAACATCTGGTCAATCAAAGGCATCTGTCTAGCCAAGAGCTCCTGAAGAAGTTCCTTAGGTATTTAGTAGGTACCTAATCTTATGTCTTTTGTTTTAATTTCTGACCTATTTTCTTTCGCTGAGTCAGAACTGACTTGAAAGCACGGAACAACAACTCTTTACAGAAGCAGTTTGCCAAGTCTTTCTCCTGAGACTTGCTGGGTGGATTCTAATGTAGTAGACCTTTCTGTAAGCAGTCGAGAGTGTAAGCAACCTCTGCACCACCACAACTCCTTAAACATTAAATGAGTCTCTTGTATTATTCACTCTACCCCAGTGTCATCACTCAATGCTGACACATAGCGACCTTGTTTAGGGTTTCCAAGGTTCTGAGGCTATAAATCTTTAAGGGAGCAAAAAGCCTCATCTTACTTCCATAATGGGTTTTAACTGCTGGCCTTTTGGTTAATAGTCCAATGTTTACCCTGCAGCACCAAGAGGGTTCCTTCCCAATAATATGTTCCTATTTCCAAATCTTATTTTGATCTTTTTTAAAGTTATTATAATTTCAGCAAGCAAAACAACAGGAAGTAAAATGGTATGTGTATGTCTGCGTTTCAGAGAAGTGACCAAATCAGCAACATCTACATTTAAGTATTCTCCCATCGATCAAATACTTAGACTTCTAGTAAGTCATCTTTTCAACAGGGATGAACCTAAAAGGCCTAAAATCCACCTTGGTAACATAGATGCATGCTTTATTTACAGTACTAAAAAAATTGTTGATACTGTTGGTTGTTAAATACTGCCTAGTTGGTTCCGACTCACAGTGACCCTGTAATTGTTGTTGTTGTTGTTGAGTGCCTTAGAGTTGGTTCAGACCCATAGCGACCCTATCCGAGGCTGTAAATCTTTACGGGAGCAGAACACATCATCTTTCTCCTGTGGATCGGCTGGTAGGTTTGAACTGCTGGCCTTAAGGTTCGCAGCCCAATTCGTAACCACTATGCTACCAGAGCTCCTTGAAAATATTTCTTTTTACATTGCCTTAGTGCCTTGAAAGACACAACATTATATGAAAATAAAGTTCTGCTTCTCCCCAATCTTTTGTTACTAATAAAAATAAAGAGGATAGAAATAAAATTCCAGAAAGGTAAGAGTAGTAGTTAAAACATATCAAATCACTGAACACTGATCTACAATAAACTTTTCTTGATGTTATTATGTGCCGTCAAGACAGTTCCAACTCATAGCAACTCTGTATAGTTTCCAAGTAGCAGGTGGTGGGTTTGAACCACCAACATTGCAGTTTGAAGCCTGGTGATTATCCTATACTGCCACACTAGGATTGTTGTTGTTGTTGTTGTTGTCAGGTGCCATTGAGTCGGACCCGACTCATAGTGACCCCATGCACAGCAGAACGAAACAATGTACGATCCTGAGCCAACCCCACCACCACTGCCATATTTGATGCCATCAATGAAGCCACCTAGCTGATCCATCTCGTTGGGGTCTTCCTCTTTTTCTCTGACCCTCCATCTTACCCAGCATGACATTCTTCTCCAGCGACTGTTC